TTGATGTCTCAAATTGAAGGTGTACGCACGCACAGATTAGCCATCAAGCATCGGCATATACTTATCTATAATCCCACTCGGCTTATACGTAAACGAAATTTGCTCCCCATGTATTTCTTATGTGAGTTTAATTTGGGATTTTTCCGAGTTCGTATGGCTCGTCTACCCGACCGATTTTTATGATTGAGGTCTCAAATTAAAGGTATGCACGCCAAGTTTTCTCATAAACCATCGGCAAATATTTACCTACTGTATTACTCGACCAAAACACATAATTTTATTTATTTTCTAATTCTTACTTTAATTTAAGATGTACTTTCAGATGTACTTTAAGATGTACATCAGTTATTATTTTATAATCCTATATATTTTAGTCTAAGGACCTTCAGTGAAATACTGGCTTTCATCTAAGCTATTATTGATTCAAATCGTACGAGTTTCAAGCAAACGCAAGGTGAAAAAACTAACATAAATATTATTTTTCATAAGGTTTTTTATATGATTAAAAATTAATAGCTCCAGTATTGGTAATGTTTTTCTATATGTTTTTTTTCTCATAAATTTGATTATTTCTCGGATATTATATTTGTTTTAACGCTGAAGAGCAGCACGGGTCCTATAGACTCAAAATAATCAGTAAATTAAAGACTTTCATTTGAGCTATCAATCGTTTTGGTCACAAACCGACCTTTACATTTGAAAAAAATATTTTGCATCCAAAATGGCGAATCCAAGATGGCGGCCGGAAACGACCACCTTGTCAAAATTAAGTTCTTCCTACCCACCAATGTTTGGAAGTGGTCTGGGATTGATATTTGAAAAAATGTAGAAAAAAGTTGGGGGGACAATTAAAACTCACCCTGTATAATTACAGTATACTGTACAAAAGTTTACAGTACCTATATAATTACAGTACCACAAAAGTTTACAGTGCAAAATTGCAGTATATAATTACAGTATATTTGAAAGTTAGATAACATTTTGAGACTGCATTACCGAAACTTACATTCATAAACTACATTACTGTATTGAAAATACACGATTAAACTAAGAATTCGAGACTACATATTACTGAAATTACGCTATTGAAACTCCAATATAATTTTAACTACATTGGCTGAATGCTACATTATCGAAACGAAATTACTAAAACACCACTTTTTAAAAACTACTGTTATCTCGGAGCTACGACATTGAAAAGATTTTTCTCAGCTGATGTGCATCGCAGGGAAAATCTACGCATACTGTTGGAAAGATATTTTGCCTGTAGATGTACAGAATACCTTTATAAATTAAATTAGGCTAAAAAAAGAGACAACAAATTAATTAAAAAAAAAAATACATGGGCCCTATGGGTTGCCATGCTGGTGACGAAATAACAACGAAATATAAACAGTAAATCAAAACAAATGGAAGAAATTCCAATCACGTGTTTTATTTACAACGAGGGGTGAAAATAGAGATGTCTGTACTGTACATTACATTTTTGATTAGTTTTCGACCAATGGACGACCTCTAGTAAATTATAAAACCTTATAAAACCATTGATTGATTATTAAAATGGATTATCGAAACTACTTTATCAATTTAACTATACTTTAATTTAAGGAAACTACCGCAAGTTACTATATCTACATAGTTAAAACTACGTTAGCGAAATTACTTTATTGAAACTAGGGTATTGAAACTGTACCTTATTGAACTCCCTTATTGACAAAACATTATACAAACATTGAAATACAACTTTGCAATAAATAATGCACAATAAATGTAGTTAATGATTCTAGACCAAGTGTCGAATTCTTGGATGACAGCAGATTCATAATCATATTATGAAAACCGTTACCACCAGATGTGGATTGTATCCCTTAGGATATCAGTGAATAAGGAGGGCGACATTTATGTTAATAGGCCCCTGAATACATGGTTTGACCTAGAAATAATTAGAACACAAATGAAACCATTGTAGTTTGATAGTAAAAAGTATTGTAAATAACATATCAAAAGTCTCCAAAAATATCTTTGGTGGAACACCACCATTTTTTCAAAATGGCGGCCAAATCCAGTAGTTTTTAGCTTTTTATTGAAATTCTGACTTTCCAGTCCAAATTGGTGAAAAGTCGTAAATACATTTTATTTTCCTCCTGAAATTACCTTTAAAATGATACCAAATACATGTACGTACAACCAAAAATAAACCCCGCAGAAATAATAAAATATTTCAAATAAATTTTTCAAATAAATTAATGTAATAATCCAAGCAAACTAATAAAACAGACACAGGGATCATATAACAATTTGCAAGTAAACGTTTTATGGTTTTATTTTTATTTTGTGGTGTGCAGAGTGACATATTAAAAGTTCCAAAAATCAGTCCACGGGAAACCCCTAAATTAATTATATAAAATGGCGGCTTTTCCCAATATTGGACAAATTTAGCAAAAAGAGATACCGAATACTTTTTTGCACATTTTTCGAGATATTGACTTGGGACTACCGCCAATATTTATTAGGTCATTAGTACTGTACTTCATTTTTATAGGGGACACGTTTTTGGCCGCCATCTTGGATCCGCCATATTGGACAAATATTTTTTTAATGTAATGATAGTGTTGTGACACATAATTTCAAACCACATTCTTATACTGATTTCAATGCTGAAATCCATTTTTAAATACCTTTTTTAGTTTAGAAGATATGTTCAAACGAAAACTCTCACCCATACATTTCTTACGGACGTTTCGTAGTTTGATAATTTTTTCAGATTATTTTTCTTATATATCCAGTTCTTATTAACGGTTGCAATTCGTTCTGGCCTTAAAATATTCAGTATTGTAAGGGTTTCCATTTGAGCTCTTGAGCATTAAAATGAGTCGAGTTAAAGACCAGCTAAGAACCTCAGAACAATATCAATTTTAACTTTTTTAGAAATACATTTTTATTAAAAGATTTATAACTCGGGTTGTTAATACGTCACCATGTTCTTTCTGGTCTCAAATTACTCAGTAAGGTAATTCTGAGCAATTACTTGGTCAACCCCATTTTTTTTCATACTTTACTACGGTCATCAGGATGTTCTTATAAAACAAGAAACATATAATTTAAGCCCCGCAAGGCCATCGTACAGGTTGCAGAGCGATAAGAACTTTTAAATTCCAAGCGATAACAGTGGCTTGCAGGAGACGCGCGGAAGGCCAGTTGGATGAGGACAAAGAACCCGGCGATTACTGAGGTAATTTCTATTTGTATATAACATATATTAACTTTCCCGGGCTGAATTATGTTTTTTTTTAGTTTCACATACATCTCTAAAGCCAGTTGCGACAGTACCGATATGTTTGGTTAGGTTAGGTTAGGTAAGGTTAGGTTAATTCATAACCTAACTTAACCTAACCTTACCTAACCTAACTTAACCTTGCGGGGCTTAAATTATATGTTTATTGTTTTCTAAGAACATCCTGATGACCGTAGTATAGTATGAATAAAACTGGGGTTGACCAAGTAATTGCGCAGAATTACCTTCAGGGTATGTTTGGCTTTGATTTTATTAATTATTAAACAAAATCTGACAATTTTAAAATGAGTCATGGATCTTAATTTAACATTAAAATGTATTTATTTTTAAATTTGTCTTTTTGGACGTATATCCCCAATTCTAAATCAATCCCAAAACTCTTTATAGTCCTAAATAATTCGTAACATTGTTGACTTTTATTTTAGCTATGGATTACTTATTGGGTTCGTGATATTTGTCCTTAACCAAAGACAAATTTCTAAAAAAAATAAATTACTGTCAAATAAAGATTCATGACTCATTTCAAAATTTTCAGATTTTATTTAGCGATTGATAAAATTAAAGAAAAACATTTACAGAATAATTTAAGACCAGAAAGAACTTGGTGAGTTATTAACAACCCGAGTTATAAATATTTTAATAAAAATATATTTCTAAAAAGTTAAAATTGATATTGTTCTGAGGTTTGTAGCTGGTCTTTAACTCGTCTGATTTTAATGCTCAAGAGCTCAAATGGAAGCCCTTACAATACTGAATATTTTAAGGCCAGAACGAACTGCAACCGTTATAAGAACTGGATATATAAGAAAAATAATCTGAAAAAAATTATCAAACTACGAAACGTCCATAAGAAATGTATAGGGGAGAGTTTTTGTTTGAACTTATCTTCTAAACTAAAAAAGATATATAAAAACGGATTTCGGTATTGAAATTAGTGTAAAAATGTAGTTTGAAATGATATGTCACAATACTATCATTACATTAAAAAAATATATCTATGTCCAATATGGCGGATCCAAGATGGCGGACAAAACCGCGTTTCCTATTAAATTGAAGTACTAATGACCTAATAAATATCGGCGGTGGTCCCAAGTCAGTTTCTCAAAAAATGTTCATACAAAATGCATGTAGTATCTTTTTTCCAAATTTTTCCAATGTTGGGAAAATCCGCCATTTTAAATTGTGATTTCAGTGGTTTTCTCGTGCACCGATTTTGGCAACTTTTAGTATGTTGTTCTGCAAACCCAACACTACAAAACAAAACCATAAAACGTTTTCTTGCAATTTTTTTAAGGTCATATCCTATATTTCTCTGACTAGGACTATTACGTTAATTTGATAAAAAATACTAATATTTTAAATATTTTATTATTTATACGGGGTTTATTTTTGGTTGTAGGTACATGTATTTGGTATTATTTTAAAGGTAATTTCAGGGGGAAAATAAAATGTATTTACGACTTTTCACCAATATTGACTGGAAAGTCAGAATTTCGATAAAAAGCAAAAAACTACTGGATTTGACCGCCATTTTGGAAAAAAGGTGGTGTTCCACCAAAGATATTTTTGGAGACTTTTGATATGTTATTCACAATACCTTCCACTATTGAATAACAATGGTTTCATCTGTGTTCTAATTATTTCTAGGTTTTGCTATTTTTTTCTTATTTTAAGGCGCCTATAAGGTAAACAGTGACTTACGTACCAAGCCTTTGACAGACCAAAGTGATGCTTCCTCTGCGGCTGCCACAACAATACTGTGTACTGTGGTGGTAGAACGAGTGGAGACTGGATTGGAGTACCTCAGTCAAATCTGATGCCACTACGTCTTTGGTTCCATTAATAAAATCTCCTGCTTCCTTATTATTATCATTATTTACTATCTTCTTCATAATGCAATGCAATGAAATGCTTTATTTTCCATTAGGCATAAAGTGCAATAGGCATCGTCAAAACAAATAACAATATATTACCATTCATATACAGGGTGTCCCATAAGTAAACAGCCAAACTCCGGGAAATGGTTCTATGGGGAAAAAATCAAGAATAAGATTTTTTCCAAAATCGCATCGTTAACCAGATATTCGCCATTTTGTTTTTCCACATTACCATTTTTATCTTTAAAGGTTTTCAACCGATCATTATGAAACTTGGTATGTATGTTAAGGTAATAGAGACCCATGTTAGAAAAAAAATCATTAAATTTCAAAATGGAGGACGTTTTAATTGTTATTTTTTAATAAAATCAGCAATTTTTTAGTAATTTAAGTTTAAAAAATTAAAATGGCCGCCATTTTGAAATTTAATGATGAATCAAGATGAATTTTGTTTCTAACATGGGTCTCTACCTTAACATACATACCAAGTGTTTTAACGATCTGTTGAAAAACTTTAAAGATAAAAATGTTAATGTGAAAAAACAAAATGGCAAATATCTGGCTAACAAAGTGATATTGGAATTTAATGTTATTCTTGATTTTCTTTTTTTTACACATATGTATAATTAGATTAGTATTAGATTTTAGTAGTTTTTCAATTATCAATCATTGGGATGACACCACCTAGGTGCGTATTTTTACCCAAATATGAGTGAGGGACAAGTGTAGAATTGTGTGTAATTTTTGCTAATGCTATTACTGTACTGTACTTCCAAAATATGTACCAAATAAAACCCATGAAAAAAAATTGGAAATTTTCTATTCCAAAACTTTATTTTAGGAATAGCTGTTAGTCCAAACTAAATTAATTAAAACTCAACCAATTCCCAACAGATTTTAATATATAAGACCAGAATTGGAACTTTGTCTAGTAATAAATTACTTTTGTTCATTGGATTTAAGAAAATAAAAAGTCCAGATAGGTGGAGTGGGGGTCGAGCTTGACTAAGGGAAGGGCTCTAAATGTGACTTTTTTAGTTTTTCGTTTATTTATCGGAATCTGTTTAAGTCATATTGAACGGTGTTATGTAAAAAAGTTAGAGCAGACAAAATTCCCTACAAAAAAGATTCAATCCACTACTTTTGTTTGCTCTAGGAACAACCATGTCTGATCTATGCGCTTCATAAGTTGTGAAACAGACTTAAATTGCATGTATCAGCGTTCTAAATGCTTTCAACCCATTCATTTGTAAATTATATGTAATAATGCCATTCTGTGTACCTATATTATTAACTTCTAAAGCTTTACATATAAGGTGAAATGTGAATTTAGAATATTTATAGGTAGCCTACATTATTTATATTCATAGGCAACTTGTTACATCGTATGCTCAACTTTTTCAGTTGTAATCATATGTGTCGTACGTAAAGAAACTTTATGGTGTATTAATTCTGCACTGTTGTGCTGGATAGTTACTCAGATTTTATCAACAGCACAAATCATGCTGAACAACAACGACGAGCCACCACCAAGACCGTATCAGTCGACATTGATTTCACTGAAAATAGTGACGTAGCCAGGATTTCAAAATGGAGGGGGGTCGACCGACCGGGCTTAGGTAGAAGAGGGGGGGGGGTCCGGGAAAATCTTTGAAAATATAGGCCCAAAAACGGTATTTTTTAGCTCTCCTGGCATTGAAGATAATCAACCCTAACGCCAATCCAGTATTATTATATAATTTTACGTTTAATTTAATAAAAAAATATTATATTTAGGACCGGAAGGGGGGGGTCCGACCGAACCCTCAGGACCCTCCCCCTGGCTACGTCACTGCGAAGAAATGACAGTGACAGTACAGCAAGAAAACCTTCTTTGTAATGACAAAAAATAAGGCCAGGTTCATCAATATGCTGTCTCATAAAATGATCTCCGAGGGGATTGAAGTCAACAAGCTGAGGCTGATACTGATACAACTGTGTGGTGAAAAAAGCAGCATTCAGTGGTCATGTTGCTATCTTGAAGAACGAACTTCAACCTGAAGGCAAGTGAGCGCAGCGAACGAGCTCCAACCTAAAGGTGAGTGAGCGTAGCGAACGAACTTCAACCTGGAGGCGAGTTAGCGTAGCGAACGAGCTAACTTGAAGGCAAGTGAGCGCAGCGATCGAGCTCCAACCTAAAGGTGAGTGAGCGTAGCGAACGAACTTCAACTAGGACGTGATTGAGCCATGTGAACGAGCTCACTTATGAAGTAAAACGGGGCAAAGCCCGCGGGTACAGCTATATCCTATAAAGGAAATAAAGGTTTAATTTTGTTTTTAAAAGGCTTATGTGTAACTATTTTATCAACAGATGTAAAGATCAAAATGTTTCTATTTCGTGTTATCTTTCCGTTGCAAAGCACGGGTACAACAGCTAGTCATCTATATAATTAATACGCTACATGAAACTTTGTCGGTTGAACTCCTTCGCCATTTCTTAACTGATTTTATCCATTGACGCCTCATTGGAAAGAGCGTGTAGCGTAGATTTGCAAACTGGCCTTACATTTTTGAAAAAGCCCCTTGGGCTCTGCCCCAGTGGCTTTGAAAGTTCCCATGTTATCCTTATGAAGAACATAATTGTTTACATTTTGATCAGCTGTATAACTTAATTGCTGTTATTTATTTTCCAATTCAACGAAACGCATAGGTTACATTTAATGATTTGGTTGAAATTAAATATTTGCTACTTTAATTTACATTCGTACTTTATTCCAATGTAAAAAATCGAGAAAGCCTGGGCAATTTGATATATTTTACCAAAAAAGAAAAATTAATTGACAGGGTACTGAATTTTTGAGCAATAATTGAAAGAACCGATTTTTTACCATGGAAACATAGGAGTCATAGAACACCACCAAGTAGAAAAAATAGAGATTTAAAAAAAACATTTACTATCGTTATCATCCTAAATAATGAAGAGCACTTACAAGATGAAGATTCCCACAAACAATGAACAGGGATGTTAGCCAAAGTGTTACTATTTTGTAGTAAACACTGACTTAACTTTATGATGATCGGCAAAGGAAAACACTCTAGGGCTGAATTAAACTGGTACGGCAAGGACATTAAATATATGTTTTAATAAAAGTCAAGTGATTTTAAAATAATATGACTACATCCAAGAAACCTTAATAAAACTTTCACTGAAGGATTTGCATTATTCACATTTAAGGGAAACAAAAAACCATCTGAACGACATTTGGCCTTTCAATTCTGCATTTTTTTCAGGTAAATATAACTGACATAATAACAGTAACTAGGTAGCCAAATTAATGCCAATTGAAGCAAATAAAATTATGACAGAGAGGTTATGCAGAAAAACAGGCAGTTCTTAAGTAATGTAAACAAAATGTCATCGCTATAAAAAATTACTGAAATTTGTAAACATACTAGCGACAACGGGTAGTACTATGCAGACTACATTATCATTGACAAAGATCAACCTGGACCACCTAATGCGGCTATAAGTGGGAAAGATATGTAGAACACTAAAAAACCAGATCAACTTTTGAAAAATGATCAAATATTTACTAGAAATGTTGATTATATGTAACTGTTAGTCACGTAATCTATGAGCTGAGTCTTTTAAACTCATCGGAAATTATGACTTTTATTCGCTTTTAAATAAGTTAATTATTTGTTTTTAAATACTGTAACTACTTTACTTCTTTGCAATTGCTCGATTTCGAGCAACATGTACACTAGTATATATTAAAACGTGACAGGGTTTTTTTATTTGACGATTCTGAATCAACCACTTGACGGATTTTCATGATTTTTGTGTTGAAAGAAAGATAATTTTGAGAACTAGGGAATGTCGCCATAATTTTAGTTTAGGGTTTTAGTTTTTTTTTAAATTAAGTTTTAAATTTTAAAAAGTCTAGCAGCCTACGCTAACATTCTATTGTAGCTTTTGGTATAATACCATTTGCTTAACGTAACAGCTGTAAACATTCAGCGTTTTCGACACAAATTCAGCTTTTGAATGAAAATGAAATGACATAAGTAGAATTGACTTATTTATACTATGTGTACTATAATCATTGATAAGTTCATTTAATCGGTAAGAGGATAAGAGTTTATTTAAATATAAATAGCAAAATAATAGATGTTCTCATTTATTTTTTTGAGCGGTCTTTAAAATATTGAGTTTGTTTTAGTGAAATATAATTTGTTATAACTAACAGCTGGTTCAATAAAAAATATTCTATAGAACTATGAGGCTAGTTTATTTATGAGATTTGTTCATTGATTATAGGAAATCAGTAGTAAGATTCTATAACCATTGCTGCTCACGAATCTTCAAAAGAAAGCTTATGAAAATTATTTTCTCGACTTGAGGAAAGGTTGGGAAAATAACAATGATCACATGTTTTAATTCATCTTGGAAGCTTTTTCTTTACAATAAATTTTGAACTGCTTAAACTATGCTTGAATTAGTAATAGACACACTATTACTATTACTTTTAATGGACTACCTACTTGATTCCCGTACGTAGGACGGGCCAACAGCTCGTTATTTATAAAAGTGAAATTATTTAGTAGGGATAGCAATCTCGATACTATCTTCAACGTATTTTACAGCTCGACTTCAACGCAAATGGAAGTCTCGACAGCCAGTGAGCGAATGATCCTAGACCCGAGAAAAAGAACTGGACAAACATATTTTCTTCAATCTATTGAACAAAAGGAATAACGACATATATTTGTTTAGTTTGACTGGTCTATAATGCAAAAAAGGCAATTTTAGCCAGTAAAGTAACGGTAGTACGTTGTAGCAGATTTTTATCTTCCTGAAATTTTACAACATAAGCACTGACGTCACATACTAGGGGGTAAAATTCCGGCTGCGAATTTTTGAGTTTCCCAACATGAGTCGACTAGGTTAAAGGTAGAATTAAACATATCTTTTCACGGTTGTGAATTTAATCATAACAAATTAATTATATAAATCTAGAGTGTAGGGCCGGACTTTTACTCTCTTCATGAATATTTTTGTCGTTTTCTAACTTAGTTTGCTTAAAATAATGGGGCAATATGATTAAAATATAGTTCCATCACAAAAGCAAAAGTGTCTTTATCGACCAGCTCTCTCATTTTCAGACCTCGACTTTGCCTCAATCCTAAAACTTGAGCTCATGTGAAAAGAGCCACTTTACACCCTAGTGATGAAATATACTATTTAACAATCAACATAAAACAAAAGCAGACCAAATATGGCCTATAAATGGTTGGAAAACAGTTGTTAAATTGTTTCTTTTGAGGTAAAATTTAAAGTGGTAGAAAAAGAATTATATTGTATGCTATAACTAATTGGATTGGTTTAATATTTACATTTAAATCTACATTTAAAATCACAATCTAAATCTAAAGTACATTTAACATAGATTCCAATAACTGGGTTAAGGTCAGTCATCTGAGTGACATAAATACTAGGGTGGTCTGCCATTACACTTTAGACGCATAAATGAGCGAAGCATTATTTAAAGATTGTCAATGGCTAAAGCAGCTAACACCCTTCAATATGTTCCCTTTCAACAGATTCACCGTTTGTTTGCCTGATATTATTTAAACTAGTGTACATGTTGCTCGAATTCGAGCAATTGCAAAGTGTTACAGGATTTATTTTAAAATGAATAACAGTCATACAATTAATTTAAAAGAGTCAACTCAAGATTACCTGTGTGTAACTCAGACCATGTTTATCTTCGTTATTGATAAACCTAAATCATTCCGGCCGGTTTTCTCCTTCTCAAAATACCTCGCTGTACAGGCAACACAGGTCATTGACAGAGGGCCAATTGAGAACGAAAAGTCGTTTTGGGGTAGTGTTTGGGTGCATTTGTAACCAATAGTTGAGATTGTCCAGGGTCAGGTGCTGACTGTGATGAGTTAAACCTATTACGCGCCACTGTTCTGTAGCTGCGGTCGTTATCACGATTACGCCTCCTGTCTATGTTTCGTTGTCGTCGCGTCGGAGGCATTTAAAAGAAGAAAAAAATAAACAAATTATAGCTACACAAAACAACGATAAATGCACAAATTTAAGTTACAATCATGCTAACACGATCCGTCATAGCGACACAAAAAAACTATAAATACACACATTTAAGATACAACCATACTAACACGATCCGTCTTGGGGGTTATGTTTAAACAAACTCAAATAGTAAATAAACGTACTCAATGTGTTTCATTGAATTGAAAAATAAATAACAGCAGTTAAATTATACAGCTGATCAAAATGTAAACAATTTTGTTCTTCATAAGGATAACATGGGAACTTTCAAAGCCACTGGGGCAGAGCCCAAGGGACTTTTTCAAAAATGTAAGGCCAGTTTGCAAATCTACGTGACACGCTCTTTCCAATGAGACGTCAATGGATAAAATCGGTTAAGAAATGGCGGAGGAGTTCAACCGACAAAGTTTCATGTAGCGTATTAATTATATAGATTCTAAAGAATGAAAAATTTATCTGATAGTTCATACTGTACCTTTGTAGTGAAACTGGCCATCCTGGCCATTTTATTGTACTTTGTAAATGGGAATAGCAGGATGTACTCGTGCAATCAACATTTGTTCTACAATCGTCAGGTCAGTTAATTCGTTCAGGACACTTGACACATCCATATTATTTAACGCCGTGAATTTAGTTGCATTTGAACGACAACGCGAACAAATCGGTGGTTGGTTTGAAGCTGTTAGTTGTTGGCGATGACAGTTAGTGCAAGTGTAAGTAAAATGTTTGTGCATCTAATTCATGTTGGAATTGATTAGCTAACTGCCTATCATTAACAGCTTCTTCCGCCACTGCTTCATCTGGTTCTTCTTGTTCACGACACCACTCTCTTACAATATTTGCATTATCGGTGCGACGACCAATATTATGACGTGGCCTTTGAGGCATGCTCAAAACAAATATAGCAAAACTGTTACTTCCATTGATAAACTGTTACATTCCAACTTTAACCTATGATGAAAGTAAACATTGAAATGTAAACAAAACAGTTACAAACAATTAACATATGTTTATCTTATTTAAATGAAACGAGATAAACACATATGTCATAAACACAATATGATTTTTCTTTCAACTTGCATTAAAATAACAAGCGAAATTGCGTGACCCGTAAAATAAAATCCAGAAGGAAATTTGCAAATATTTTTACCAAAACATTGTGCTCAGTATTCTTTAGCTGTTGGCCAAATTTCTTATCAATTGGTCAAGCCATTACATTCTGATGCCCTTACAAAGAAGTTACAAAGTGAGGGAAAGTGAGCTTCGCTCAATAATTTATATCTGTCCAAGATAGGACTCCCCCCAATAGCCTTCAATGATATGACATAGTAATGTTTTGTTGTCATGTATGTTAGCCTTATTCTACCCCATTTTACAACTAAAAATCGTGATATTTCAGTTATTTTTTAAACGATTTTTTGAACTTGATGGTGTTGTTTAATAGGGAACTGAAAATGCTAAATAAAAGTGTTCTTGGCATTTTTCATCAAATCAGCCATATTTAGTATTAGTAATATATGTTCAAAAAATTAAAATGGCTAGGAAAGGTTTAGGCATTTTGAAATTTTAAGTTTAATCAAGATAAACTTTTTCTCTAACATGGGTTACTTCAACCTTACATACCTAACAAAGGTTAAAAATTTGATGTTAGTTTTGAATAATTATATGCATTATGAAATTGAGATTTGTTAAAAACATTCTCACTGATCGGTTGAAATAACCTTTGGTAAGTTTGGCTTACTATATTGATCACACAAGACTATTAAACTTGCAAGGTAGTTTAGTTAGTTTACATTACTCCTCCTCCCGGAAAAATGTTATGTTGGCAAAATGCTGTAGGGTGAGATCATCAATAAAGTTTTTATGACAAATACTTTATTTTACTTTAGGGAAACCATATAAAAATTAATTATAGGTACATTAAAACACTTATGTATATACAGAAACTTAAATCAAGCATCACTTTTTTTCATCCAGTCCGTATTTACTCTTGACTTTCTCTAATTCCTCTTTCTTCTTGTCGACATCTACCCTCTTGAATGCTTTGTTAGCCTGAAAATGTGTGATAAAAATGATTAAGTATTTTATCAGATCATAATTTATTATCCATCAAGTTAATAACCATGTGAGATAAACAGCAACCCTCAATAAAATTATTTCACATTGAATGTACCTAGGATAGCGAGTTGGATTTACAGTATACTTCCTGTAACTTGGTCACCTTGGAATCGAACCCTTGTCTGAACTCGAACAAGTCTTGAAGGTATACAGGTCAAGACCAAACAAATTTTGTTTGCAAACTATCAGCAGCGAGCACTTATGTGGATGAGAGGTAGTCTCGCAAACTAAACTCATTCATACAAGAGGGAGTCTATTGTATTTGGGAAGAATTTCATCGGGATGTGGAATACTACCCCCTAGAAACCACCCCACCCCCCACCACAGGTGAAACGTGACATCACAAAATCTGCCAAATAACCAATATGGGTTTCCACAACTGGAATACTACCCTCCTAGCATAATGTGATGCTATGCTATGTGAGTGATTCTGTTTGATAACAGAAAAGGCACTTGGGGAATATCATACAGAATTTTGAAATGTTACAGCAAGTTTGGACATTACAATATACAGCAAGTTTGGTGAGTTTAGGACAGTTTGACAACGAAACTTGAGTGTCTGTAACTGGAAAACTACCCCTCCCCCAAATCTTTGTTATCAAAATGACGTAGGAACCTTCTTGGGGGGTAGTTGTCTGGAGGGCAGTCTTCCGGCGACTCATTTCATCAAATGTTGGTTAATGCGGTTAAACCTTCTCAAATTAATTTCATTCCTGGTGTGAATATAAATATTGTATTCGTACTGTAAATTGTTTTTGCTTGCATTATAACACACCCACAAAGATAGGAAAAATCACATTTACATCAATATCACATTTTACAGGAAAGCCAAGTGTCTGGCTATGATTATTTTTAAAGAATATGGTTCAGCTAGCTTACCAGAAAAAAAGAATACATGGGCTAAGAGATCCTTCAATCTTAACTCTGCTAACTTTTTTTAGAAATTTCATGCAGACGAATTATCCATATAAAAAAATTCTATAACCTTGTGGAAAAACTTTTTACTTTTCTGTTTGAATGAAAATGACTTTCAAGTCAAACATAATGGCCATCTCCATTTTAGAAATGTTTAAATGTACCTAAAAGCAAATAATACTACATAAAAAAATATTTTCAACAGTACCAACCTGATAGTACAACACTACAAGATATCTGTTACAAACGTTGAAGCCAGACAGGTGATCACAAGCATTTTTTGCATCAAAAATATCTTCATAGACGACAAACGCAGTACCTCTTGTGTCAGCAGTGTTCCCACTGAAAAAACATGAAAGAGTAGCACAGTTAAAAATGTTGTTTTTATAAAAGTCAAACCTGGGCCTTGGAGAAAAAGTAGTATTATTGCTCCTCTCCCAAGTTAATGGCATTTTAATTTGCAGCCAGTCGTTAGCTGAGATGCATAAAGTAGCCTATTAGCTACAATCAACATTTTAATGTTTACATATTTTTTAGTTGTAAACTGTGTTTGTGAGTCTGGAAGTTTAAAGAATGATAAGCTCATCAAAATCCAAACTTAACTTAATTATGGAATGGTTTAAAGTAAAACTGAGCCCAACATTTTGTTATTAAAATTAAGTCTTCTTTTTGTCCGAAAATGTACTGTAGACACGATTCACTCATCCAACACTAGCAGTGTACATTGGCATGCGGGGTTCCTAAAAATACTGATTTACTAAAAGACATCTAATTGCTACGATATCTAGCAGAAAAATATTGCTAAAATAGATGTTGAATTAGAACTTTACTGAATACGATTTATTAAAGCCGAATGCCTTTGGAAAGAACTAACCTGAAAATTTACTCACACCTAACATATAATCCGTAGGTCTAGGGCTACTAGTAAAACTTTGACCACAAAGACCTTAAAAAAAGAAGTTCTCTTTACTTACACTCTTATTTGACGAATAGCACCATACTTCCCAAATATATCATACATTTCTTCTGCAGTTATTTTGTAGGGAAGGTTACGTATATATAACACTCTATTCACCTCAGGGGGTAAGCGGACCTGGAACAACAAATCCCATCAACATCATCATCACACATAATGGTTTCAGGAACAGAGGCAATTCATTAGTAGGCCTAAATGAAAACATGTTGGTCCAACCACCAACAGATATTTAGAAATAAATGTACTCGGGTGCTCTTTTTCAATATCCTACACTGGAGATGGATATTGATCCCAGATAAGATCAGCCACATAAAGAATCTGTTAACAACATATTATGACATACCATGCATGTTAGGTTTGAATGACTAGACTTCTAAGCTAGGCTACTTGAAATCGAGCAAAAAATATAAGAGCATAAAAAAACAATTAAGTAACTTGCAAATCCAAATAACAATTAATAATTCGGTACAAATGTAAGTAGCTTAGGCCTAAAGCTAAATCTTGCAAAAGAGGATTATGTAATAATATTAATGAGCTTGTTTCAGCATAAAAACATAAGGACTCAAAGAGGTTAAAACAGCATTGTATCTTGTAAGAACACCTATTAAAAGTAGACATATCAATTAGATACTAGATAGGTTAGTCTAACTGCTGAAATATATAGAAATTGAACGTTCAAACAAACCATGACTTACTATTGTATGACTGAACTAATTTGAAGTAAACAAAGTCTAGAAAGGATTATTAATGTACCGGTACCGGTAGGCCTAATTGAATAATTGTAATTGGTATTTATATGCCTTATTAGGCATTTACTAACGGTTTTGAATGGGAACGATCCTAACTCTGGTCTTGTTCTCCTCAACCTTTTGATAGGCCTTATGGGTATATAGTTTGGGACCAAAGTTTGGTCGTGGACTATGAAGTCCCGAGCTCGTGAACCACCCCTAAGACTAAAATACCATGCTTTTGCATGTCTGATATTATTATTTCATTGTGTTTCACCCACTATTTAATGTAATTGTGCAAAAACAGTCTGGAAGTAGCATAAATTAATGAGTCGGTTCATTGTAACCTAACCTTTACCTTCCTAATCTAACCTCACTTCAAAACACTTATTGCAGTCACGAATCCGCATAAAACCCGACCTAGCCACCTTCCTCACATGCCTAAATAAGAAATTTGATTATTTGGTTTTAAAACGAGTTGATTTCATTCCGCATTAAGTCAAGTATAAACGGCTGTTTGCTCTCCTCCTCACTCAGTCCTCAGTCCACATCATATTACCTTGTTCAGTACCACTCAATTATCCTTAGATTCATAATCTTTACCTTCCTTTTACGGCCATATTTCGTAAAAATACCATCGGGTACACTTCCATATCTGTTGGCACAAACAACCGAATGAGTAACATTGATTATTCGGTTGTTTAATTCAATATAAACTTATCGTTTGGTTAGTTAGGTTAAGTTAACCTTACCTAACTAACCTAACGATTTATCGATCGGTATTTTCATTCGGTTGTTTGTGCCAACATATATGGAAGTGTACCCAGAATCTCTCCGACAAAAACTGATTGTATTTTTGGATTCAGTGTGGAAAATACTGTAAGTAGACATCTAAAAATTATACATCATATCCCAATGTAGATACAGTAAATATTTGCCCAAGGTCTATGTGGAACAAACTTACAACTAAGTTAGACCTACGCTAGCTCAGGAAAACAAGCATAGGGCCTAAACACTAAATAGGCTAGATTTTAGATTAGGTAGTCTACTTACATTTAGTTTAATTAACTTAGCTAAATAAGCTTATGTGGAAATATTTTGATATCTGACGGCATCATATTATTGAGTAGCCTAACTTATAACCAATGATAACCAAACCAAGCCTAGGACCCAACCAAAATCTAAACTTAGGCTTGGCTTAACTTAAGTTATAGAGTGAATTTATTGTACCGTAACAATTTATAGATAATTACGATGGGTATACCAAAGTTTTGCCTATAATCTTACATCTATAAACTTACATTAGCTCTCTTTTGCATCATAGCCATGGTGAATGAGTGTTAGTATCCAAATGCAAAGTAGATATAGAGAGTCCGTGGACAAATTACTTAGTTTAAAAGCAACCAAACGTAAAAACCCCCCTTCTTGCACTTGCAGCACTGTAACTAAACAAAATTCAATTCAAAAACTAGCTATTCTATGAAAATCTCGATATCATCACAGTTCAGCAGCTTCACCTAAGAAACTAGCCTAAGCCTAACCAAACTTTTGTTTGACAGAGTTCATTCAATGACCAATCAAACAAAAACAAAACAATCCGTCATTTCCAATATTCCATTATTCCACAAACCAGTAACCAGGAGTTCAACATTTCATGTTTTTTCCAATCCGGCCCAGATCAGTTGAGACATTGATTATTATCCTTTCACCTTGGATTATGATAGTATAAATATAGTCAATATAGTGTATAAAGTTCAGACAAAGAATTTTAGGCAATGATTTGGACCACAGTTTTCTGGTTCTCATCAGCCAATTATCATAGGCAAATTTATTATTATGATATCATGCATCGACGTGGTTAAGAATTTTAGAGGGTCTTTAAATTTTCTGAAACACTGAGCTGCTTTGAAAAACGGAAGATGAAGCCAAACTAGCTGTTTGCTCGGCAGCATGGATTTAAACCAATGCAAGTAACTTGTGTAAATCTGGTTAAATGACTTATGCTCACGGCCACCTTTAACTACAGGCCGCGGCCTGGTAGAATTGGCAACGTAGCAAGTACAGTAGTGTTGTTTAGTGACAGCTGACAGCAGACGTCCCATAAGATAACATGCCAGACATGTGACATAAGTTATTAATTCGCACTTTATTGATTTAAATTTACGTTTATGAACATAAATGTATTAAAAATATTAAAAATAAAACACACAGGAATTGAAAGCCGGAACAATATGAATTAAAATCTATATCTGTACATTTTAAGCGGAGTCAATATTGTCATAGTCCAGTGTAACCAATCTTTCGTTAATACACAAAATACCATTAGCTGCTTCCAAACAAAACAGCTGTTACAACACCACTTACGACGTTGCCACTTTGAAGGCCGCAGCCTGTCACGGCCGCCTTTAACTCCAGGCAGACCGCGGATTTCGAAGTGGCAACGTCGCAAGTGGTGTTGTAACAGCTGTGTTGTTTGGAAGCAGCTAATGGTATTTGTGTACAGTATTTACGAAAGCTTCTTTACTGGACTATGAAACAACACCACTTGCGACGTTGCCAATTCCAAGGCATATTTCATACGCCTTGGCCAATTCTATCAGGCCGCGGCCTGTAGTTAAAGGCGGCCTGTAATTTTTTACAGCATTCAGATTATTCAGAGCAATTAATCAGCAACAAGACCAGCTGGAGCTGCCGGCCTGCCGCCGGCTGGAACGATCGTCCAGCTGGAGCTGTCAGCTGTCAGCTGACTAAGTTCGATTTGCATTTGCAATACAGAATGCAATTAGGCCTAATTCGAAACAAACAAAACACAAATTTTAAATTTTCTAGATTGATTAATGATTGAGATATAGCCTACAGCCTCTTAAAAAATACAAATTACTAATAAGTGTCAGATAATACTTTCGATAATTAATTCTCCTTTAGGTGATCTAGTATTAGTTATTAGTTTGAGGTTATAGGATCCCAATTGAAATATTTATGTAAATAGTAATGAACGATTTAACTTTTGTCAACAATTAGCCTAGCCTAGGTTAGTTTTTCTTTGGGGAATAGTTGTGGAAAATCTTGTTGAAACAATGTCTCTCTTTAAACTCTTCAGAGGAAAACGTTTTTATGAATTCCACCAATTTGTTTCCTCTGTAAATGGACGTTACAGCTTTTTGTCAGCTATTTTTAGGTTATGGGGTAGAAACAATCATCAAAACTGCAATAGAGTTGTAAAGTTTAAACAATTAAATCTCTTAAACCCCACAGTTTCAAGGATTAAATTAGGTCATTATTGTAAAATTGTGACTGCATTTTCTAATAATTCAAACCATTATAACAACTATGGAACAGACTTCACAAACACAAATAAAGTCTTACCAATTAGTGTTGCCTGTGGACTAGCGATGATCCTTGTTCAATGTTCTCAAAGTATGAAAGGTATGTAACTTATTGTATAGGCTAGTATCAGTAACTTAACCACATTTGTAAAAAAAACTGTATACTTAGTAGGTAAGTTATTTGAAAGCTTCTAGGGCAAAACTTTAAACTTAACTTAGGCCTACTGTACATTAATAGGTACCGATCCAAATCCATAATAACTTAGACCTGTAGAAAGTTTGGGTTTTGGTTAGTTAAATTTGGTTTTCGATCAAATGAATTGGCCTGCTTTTATATTTTTCCCTAATTCGTTGTAGACGGATATCTTTTTTTAGCGAATTTCCCATAGGCATATAGGGGATAGGCCTATTGGGTACACTTCCATATCTGTTGGCACAAACAACCAAATTAATACATGAAATTAATCCGTTCCAAACCAACCTAACAAAACTAATCAAACTTGCTGTGCCTCTTCTATAGCCTAATCAAAAGGAGTTTTAAAATGGTGCAGCAAGCTTGGTTGGTTGTGTAAGGTTACCTAGCTTAGAACAATTCAAAGTTTTTTTAGTCAATTCCCTTAAGACGCATCTTCTTAATTTCCACATCTCTGATCGTTCTTCCTCATCGTTTAGCTTTTGGCTTTCATCTAGATGAGTATCCTGTCCACCCCATTAGTTGCACTTAATTTCTCGGATTGTTTTTAGACGACAAGTTAAAATTTTACCATCATATTGACCACGTAATAAAAAAAAGTTAGTTCAGGAATATTTGCCATCCGCACCCTTGCAAATTCTACGAAATCTGATGTCCTACTTACCGCCTATTATGGCCTTATTTTCCCACATCTTACCTATGCCTTGCCCATATGGGGGTATGAGAATAAGTGGACACCTTATTTCTATTCCGTTTGCAGAAGCGGGCAATTAGAGCTATATTTTCTTTAAATACCCCCGCCACAGCAAACCTGTCGTCTAAGCGAATTTCCATTTGGCCGAATTGATTTTCAATTGATCTATTTAAATAACAGGTTTAACGAGTACCTAGGTTTGCTGCTTCAAGGAAACTAATAAAGTAGTGTGTTTTTAGTAAAATATTGATAGCTTACTATAAAATAAATAAATTTGCCAAGTTTGATCAACATATATCCATAAACAAGCAAACTACAACATTTTACAATATTCTCCATAAGAATAACATGGGAATTTTAAATTTACAATTTTTTTAGTTTTCTCCGTAACCAATAACCGTACAAAAACACTTTGATATACTGAATTGTTTGTTTTTTTAAGCTCTTTAAGAAGGTTTAGAGAAAAATTGGGAAATTTTGTGTTTTTAGGGTAAAAAGTGAGAAAAACCAATTTTTACCCCATAAAACCCCCCATAAAACCCTGTTCCCATGGACCGATCATGCTGGATCGCGAACTTATTCAAGTTTATCCCGCCTTACACCTTCAAACCAAATTTCATCAAAATCTGATAAAAATTACTCAAGTTATCGTGTTCACGGACACATATATATATATATAAATCTATATATATATATACCTATATATATATATATACATATATACAAATTTGAACGAATGGTGTTTTTGGCCTCTGGGGACATTAAAATGAAAAAGTAAATCGGTCCCGGGCCTAAGTCTTACCATGAGACCTACGGTAATAGCTACTTCCCTATAGGGAAATTCGCTAAAAGACGACAAACCTGCAAACCATTTTTTCAAACTGCAAACATCTTAACGTTTCCATCACTTTACATCTCCAAAACCTTGTAATTCCTAAAACAAAACATCGACAAGTTCAACAATTCCCATAACCATGCTTACAATTTAAGAACACTATTGTCTTGTAATAGCAACCATATTTTACGTTTCAGATATTCGGTTTTTTAGAGCTGCTAAGTATGGTTCTCCTGAAGACCTTAAAAGGTAAATATAATTGGCTTAAAAGTATTTTACCAGCTTGTGGTAGCCTAATGTGATTGAATTAACTTTGAGGCACGGGTCAAAGAAAGCTTTTGGCTCAGTCGGTAGCAAGGGTAATGTGAAACCAGTGCAGCGCTGTTGTAGTATACAATAATATACAATCAAATTAGTTATTTGGAACCATTATAACATTTGACTAGACCACAACAGTGTTATTACTGGTTATCATAGATGGCTATTATGCTATTCATACAGACATTTATAATTCAACTAGACCACTACAGTGTTATTACTGGCTATTATTTATAGATGACTAATTATGTTTTTATAGACATTTATTATTCAATTGTATGTCATAGAATGATTGCAGAAGAAAAAGTAAATGTGAACCAGAAACATCCGTTAGGTTGGACTGCTCTCCAAGTGGCCGTCATCAACAACAAGGTTATTTAGATTTTTTTCATTATCTCCTATATTTCACTAAAAAAAATAGGATTTCCTGAACCTAGAGATTACAACCCCCGTTTTTGAAGTTTATTTTTATTCATTTACCTACTTTATTCATATTTATGTGCAAAGGTGGTGAATGGGGTTTAATGATTTAAGCTGAGGTTGTGCATGAAAGTAAATCAGTTGTGTAAAGTTGGTTTTAAATGGTAAACCTTGTGCTTTTAAAGTAAAATTCTGAATGTATTTTTACATCCTAGGTGGGAAACGTGAAAGTTCTATTAGCAGCTGGAGCAGACCCAAATGTTCCTGACGATTTCTCAAATGCCAACAAAGTTGCTGCTACCAAACGCCTGTACGCTTTTGATGGTATGAAAAATCCGAATTCTTAATCTGGTACTTCTAGAATCACAGTGTGTTTTTATTTATTTATTTATTTATTTATTGAACACCAACGGCAAACACCATTTTACATTAAGTAGGGTAGCTACAAATAGGAAAATATTATAAAAAATTAATAATTAACAGAGGAGTAGAAAACAATATTTAAAACTAATTATTACATGGCAAAACAATGGGTATTGATGTTACAGAAAAATAACAATGTATAAAATATATAACAATAACAAAATATAACAATGAGTACAGTCTAACCTTGATATAACGAACCTAGATATAACGAATTCCTTGATATAACGATTTTTTTTTTAATCCCCTAGAACTCTCCATCTGATCTTAGTCAGTAACAAAGCTACACAGGTCATCACACACCATTCTACACTCATCCTTCACTCATATTTGGGTTAAAATACGCTCCTAGGTGGCGTCCCCATCTCAATAATTGATTGATTGATTGATTGATTGATAAGACACAATGTATATTTTACCTCTACATAACAAACAAACCATAACAACGACCTTGATTAAACAAATTTTTTGTGATTTCGGCTAAAATAAGACACTTCAATATAACGATCGTCATTGTCAGAACCTCTACATTGCAAATTTAACCTCTGCATAACAAATTGTCTACGTCTTTCCCTCGATATAACAAATCCCCCACCCAATTATTGTTTTGGGAAAATCTGTTTCTTTATAAAATTAAATGGAAAGGTGACGTCATCGCTTGCGCTAACATTCGTCTGCTCCGTTCTCAGTCTGCTGTTGCTGCGACGCTATGTTGCAATTGCAACTGAGAACTGATTTCATTCTCTGAGGACTGATGACGACGTAATGTTTAGTAAGCTGCAATTGGGCAATATGGGATAACTATGGTGAATTGTACAATTTTTGGATAAAGAGAAACCTAAGAAAGAATATAAAAACAAAACCAAAGAGAAAGAATAGCAACATTGTTATTTTAACATTCCTTTTACGAGTGTTTTTATTATCCTTAAGTTGGCTATGATTATACACTTTTATAATGACTTATCTAATAATTTATTGTTTTCAATACGATTTGTTTCAACTAGCAACACCAATGCTATAGTTCATGATTATTATTGACATTCCTGTGTCGTGATAAAATCAGTACTGTACTGTAAGTAGCCTACCAGCCTATCGCGAGCAGTAGCTTACAAAACTTTCTACTGTTTTGTTTTGTTCTTTACATGGTTTATGTATGACTACGCAATACAGTGTTTGGCTAGGTTTTAGGAGGGTTAGAACAAGCTGTGATTTTAAACTTAAAACTTAAGCTTTTAACCTATACCAAGGTCAATGCCATTGTCATGATTGCGCAATATTCAAGATCCCTCCCCTTTATTATGCCGGATAATTTAGCTTCTACTGTACAATGTAAACACTGTACCTACTGTAAAGTGTTGTAGCATATGCTACTTTAATTGTATTTTAATGAGGTCAAATCCCGACCTATATTGACCAACGCTGGTTCTGAACCTCGACTTAGCGAAATTCCTGCAAACCTAACCTCTATATAACGAACCTCGTTTTGACGAAATCCTTGATATAACGAATATTCAGTTCGGTCCCTTCAGATTCGTTATACTGAGGTTGGACTGTATATCAATAACAAGAATACAAATAAAATAGATCACAAAATTAACAAGAGAAAAATCAACAACAAAGAAACAACAACAACAATGCTTTTACGGGGTACCCTCAAGGATGCCTTATCACATTCCCGAGGCGCATAATCCGGGGAATGGGACTGGATCTGGCGTAGTTAGTGCCAGCATGGTCAAGTTCAAATACACGCTGATGTCTCGTGATTCTCGAAGGAACATGGAAGTTTATCCTTTCCAGCAAGAAGGGGCAGTTGACTTGGTTATTTACCAGTTTGTAAAGAAAGGTCACATCAGCCACTCGCCTTCTGTTTTCAAGACTCGGACTGCCATACATATTAGAGAGCTCGTCTACCCGGACGTCACGAAAGTCAAGTCCAGCACGACATCCCAGGAACCTGATGAAGCATCTTTGTACCGACTGAAGATGGTAAATATGGCCAAGATGGTATGGTGACCAAACCAAGGAAGCATACTCGAGTAGCTGCAGGATGAGAGACTTGTACAGGATAATAAAGGCTTTACAGGCAGTTTATTAACATGACAAATCTTCAGTCTATTTGTTGGATTAATGACACTGATAATTGACAATTATAGCAATAATATTTATATAATATAATAATTAATATAATTTCTTTGTAACAAACAGCATGGTCCACAATTACAATACAAGAAGAGCAACAAATCCACATGTACCTCAAGTAAATTCCACCCTTGCAAGCAAGAGCCCTTACTTCAATAGTATAAAAATTTACAACAAATTGCCTCAGTACATCACACAAGAGCCCTCTATCAACAAATTCAAGAACCTGCTAAAAACTTTCTTAAGTCAAGTGGCCTACTAGAGTGTTGATGAAATATAATATATGTCTAGGCCATGTACAATCTTGAAGAGGAAATGAATCCATCTATATAAATTAATATGAAGAAATGTATAAAAACCTGACGACCACGTTGCTGATGCGATACCAGTGGGAATTCTCCAAGTATCCAAGTATCCAAGTATCCAAGTATAGGGTATTTCTGAGGATAGAGTTCAGCTGCTTTAGATTTTTAGGATTCATGGATATATATATACATATAAAGAAAACTACGAAAAACATTGACATTTTGTCTTTATTTTGAACTTAGATAGACAAACATATTTTTTTTTTATTTCTTTAAGAAACACATTTGTTTCAGAATAGGCTACATAGGATATAACGTTTTTCTTGATTTACTTCTTCAGAGATTACTCCTAGATCTACTCGACCTTTTGAACAGGAGTTCCTATAAAGGTGTTATAGAATTATTTTTAATTGTTATATAGGTGCTCCTTCGCCAGTATTGAAGCTGGTTACTAAGTCTCTGCAATGCATCTAGACAGATACAACTTTTTGGGCCTAAAAAATGTGCTTTTATGAGTTTCAATTGGGAAAGTGACTTCTAAAGTTGAGAATGTTCTGCTTGCAAATCAACATGTTTAAGACCAGCAGTGTTTACCATCGTTCTTGGTAGACTAAACATGTCCCTTATAAATTCAGCAAACTTACTTTGTCACACCGCAGATCCTAATAAAATTGTACCTAATTTTTCACATAAGAAAAACAAAACTGATGAAAACAACCTCAGCCTTTATCAAGAATATGTTTACAACCTTATGCCACCCCGTATAATAATTATTTATGCCTTAATATTTTTCCATGCCTAAACTACTTATGCATAAACTTGCAAAGAATTTCAATAGGGGTTAACCTAAATCCTTTTCATGTAGACATCTAATCAAAGAATTAAATTTATGCTTAGAGTGCCAATTTTTCCCTCAATCATTACATTCATTTACCACTTTTCACAGTACAACAGAGGCGGGAGGACGAGTTTAGTGACCAGCTGAACTACAGAGCAACCTTCACAGGATTCACTGCGCTGATGTACGCTGTGCTGATGGACAACGTGGCTCTGGTGAAGCTGCTGCTAGAACATGGAGCTGACCCTGGCCAGGAGAACGAGAAAGGCATGAGGGCGAGAGACTATGCCAACAACAACCCACAGATACTGGCAGCACTTCAGGAGTATGAGGAGAAGGTGAGGTAAACTAGGCCATTGTAAATAAACGCTTGTGTTAGAAGCTCAAGGAGGTAATATCTTTTACCTTTGAAGGATTTACATAAATTATAGAGTCTCTTATGAGCTAACATTGTCATAAAGCGAACTATCAAATTTAACACCAACATTGTGTTCTTTACTTTACCTACGACAATTCATGTGAATCCTCAGCTTCAAACAATGCTCAGAATTAAAGAAATCTTTTTTTGTTGTAATCATTATGAGTTTGGAGATAATATAAATACGCTCTTTACCAAGTATAAATTGCCTTCTGTGACAAGATTTCTGTGGGAAGAGGTAAACTCCAAATTAAATCCATCACCAGTTGACAAATGTGGATGGTTAACTGGTGAAAAATTCAAAAATATTCATTTAGGGTCCAGAGAATGCATTCTCATTTGCAACAAGGAAGTCACTGGTAATCATCAGTTACTACAGGCAGTGATAATAGGTGGACATTTGAACCAACGAAGTTTAACAGAAGCATACTTTTACAACACCCCCCCCCCCCCACAGATATCAGCAGTCTAAGTATAAAAAGTCCATATTCTACTCTAGTATTTGTGGTTGTGTTGCAGTTTAAAGAAATTGAAAGACAAAAATCCATAGAGGAGAGGCGAAGGTTTCCCCTGGAACAAAGACTTAAACAACACATTGTTGGGCAGGAAGGACCAATTGCTATTGTGGCAGCAGGTAACTCAAATTTTAATACCTATCCTCCTTCTTGTAGGTCTTCCTTCCCTCATCATCTTGTCCAAGTCCTTAGGAACCATATTTTTTCACATTATTTGCACCAAGTCAAAACCATCTATTTATTGCTTTTCTTAAAGTTTTTTTTTTCAACTAAGCCTTTTCTGATCCCACTTCCTTCCAATTCTAATCCATCTAGTTTGACAGTACTCCTAAATATTGATAGCGCTATCTCATTTCTTCATCTTGCATTCTGCTTTATATTCTTTCCTAGACATTCCATACTTCTGCCACTTTTTATAAATTTTTCAAACAGGGAAGAACAAGGACAGTTTTATTTTATACCATGTCAATCAAATTCCACCTTCATATTACAAACTTAACCTAGTAAATTTCTACAGTAACAGGTTGTAAAATATTATTTGTAAATGGATCAATAGTTTTTGTGTTGTACCTCTAAATCAAATACTAAACCATTTTGAGACCATAGTCTTGGTTGAAGTTACCAATATTTTGTTAAAATAAAAATTTACCCAAATTATTTGTTGATTAGGCCTATTTTTGTTGTAAAATTTGTTGACCCTCAACCAAACACTGGTAATCATAATAAAAAAAAAATAAAAAAAAAACATTATCTACTCTTAGGCTACAACTATGCATGGAAGCATGGCTGAAAACCATCTCACTTGTGCTCAAAGCGATGAGAAAATTTGTGATCTACTGATATTATTAAATGTAGACTTAATGTTTCCAACTCCGATCCAACAAGGTTTATGTGATCTTGTTAAACCACATTGGTTAAAATAGCATGTACAGTAGTCGCATTTAGTCTGGGCGCACGGCCGCACTAGGGCCCGGGGTGTAGGGGGCAGTGTTTATTGCTCATTTCCAAAAACATCTGGCCCACACGGCTCTGGGGTTGTTCAGCTGTCTTCATTGCTGAAATGTACACTGGATGGCTATTAGAGACGGAACCGCACGCCCAGACTGCTTGTGCTTACTGTACTCATATTGAATCAAAATGGTATTGGCTTCAAGGATGAAAATTTTCATAAATATTAAGTAAGATATATTTTTCACTTTTTCAGCAATTAGGCGCAAAGAAAACGGATGGGCTGATGATGAGCATCCTCTGGTATTTTTGTTCCTGGGCTCCTCAGGGATTGGCAAGACTGAACTAGCCAAACAGTTGGCCCACTATATACACAAAGACAAGACTGACGCCTTTATAAGACTAGATATGTCGGAATACCAAGAGAAACATGAGGTAATTAATCAGCTAGTGTATTACAAATTAGTTTTAATTGGTATTATATTGCACAGAAATTGTTTAACACGTTCGCTACTGAGCGTCGCATATAAGCGACGCCGCGGTCATTGCCACAGACCGAGGTATACATTTGAATCTTACACATAGACCGGCTGTCACTTGGATAACAGTACACACAGACCACGGGCGAAAACCTGTAAAACAGTGATCATTTACATTGTAATACGCTACAATCGTGTTTGTAAATAAATTATTCTTGTTTCTTTGTATTTTTATAACCTTTTGTAATGTCGCATACTTGCGACGCCCGGTCTACAGCGAAGACAATAGTGAAAATTATCACAGTTTTCTTAAAATAGACTAAACGTCGCATACATGCGACAGTTCATTTTTTTGTGTTTTAAGGTAAAAGTAAGTAAAAAATAAACAGATTATTCAAGAACAGTTTATAACTGAACAAATATAAAAGCTACATAGGATAATGCAGCATACATACTGCATACATACATACAGTGATGCAGAAAAGTAAAGACCTGTTTTTCCAACTATTATATGACGTCACCAATCATCATATCCACAGACCAAGCGACGCAGTTGTGCGTCAGACATCTCTGTAGACCACTGCAGGGTATTCAGTGCCTTCAAATAGACCACTACAAAGATAAAAGCATTTTAATAAAATTAGAACCCCGACGCAAATATGCGTCGGCAGTCTATTTTAATGTGACCAGCCGTCGCATGTATGCGCCGCTGGTCCATGTGAATGGAAAATTTCATACTATTGCAGTAGCGAATGTTTTAAGAGCATTTTTTCATCATTTAGTATATTGTTAAATTTAAAATTTATCGATTATCTATATTACTTATTTAATACGCAAGCAGGTTTTTTGTGACAATTACTCCTCCGAAACTACTGAACCAATTGACATGTTTTTGGTGTCATTGGAAAGAGCATAATGTGAAGGTGTGCAGGAAACTTTCTTTTTAGGGGAATAATTAGAGAGTGAGGCCCTGGGGCCCTTAAAAGTTTCATATTTCTCCAAAAGATTAACATGGGAAACAAACATTGTTATGAAACTCCAGCTGTTGTCAAAAATTAAAAGTGAGAAGAAGAACATATGTTAATTGTAAACAGTCAATAAGTTTGCTAATTTAACAGTTTGCTACAAACATTTACTTACTTGGTTGAAATGAAATATTTACTATTTGAATTTAGGTTGTCGTAAATATTACAATGGAAAAACACGAGAGAGCCTGGATAATTTGATAGATACTAAAGAGAAAACTGAATTAACATTGTGCTGCTTTTCTTAGTAATCATTGAAAGAGAGCCGATTTTGCAAACTATGGAAACATAGGAAAGTCATAGAACACAACCTTGGAGAAGAAATAGAAATAATGTTTTTTTTTTTATATCCGTTAAAAAACTAGATCATCTTTTGAAAAATTATAAGATATTTACAAGAAATGTTGATTATATCGATCTGTTATGTACATCTTGAGTATTTCCATAATCTTTTAGTCGAATCTTTTAAAGTCATCATAAATTATTATGAGTATGACTGTTATCCGTTTTAAAATAAAACCTGTAATAGAATTGTTCGAATTCGAGCAACAGGTACACTAGTTTTAATATAAATTAGTTGTTCTTATTTTTTATACTTTGCAGAAGATACCTTTCCACTTTTAGATGTAACCAAAGAATCGAATACTTTGTCATCCTGTGGATAACCTTTGTATTAGGAAGGACATGTTAAGTTCTCAATGTATATAATCCAAAAGAGATTATGGTACATAAATATAACATGTAATATTATACTGAAGCTGTTGTTTCTTGATTGGAATACTCACAAGGGTATTTTGGTCGTGATGAAAGGATTGTGTTAATGTCCTGATGCTATTGTTATGTTCGATGATTGTGTGTAATTTATAGGTAGCCAAGATGATTGGAGCCCCACCTGGGTATGTTGGACATGATGACGGAGGTCAGCTGACTAAGAGACTGAGAAAATGTCCGATGCTGTTGTTCTGTTTGATGATAGTATGTTATGTTTAGGTAGCCAAGATGATTGGAGCCCCACCTGGGTATGTTAGACATGATGACGGAGGTCAGCTGACTAAGAGACTGAGAAAATGTCCGATGCTGTTGTTCTGTTTGATGATAGTATGTTATGTTTAGGTAGCCAAGATGATTGGAGCCCCACCTGGGTATGTTGGACATGATGACGGAGGTCAGCTGACTAAGAGACTGAGAAAATGTCCGATGCTGTTGTTCTGTTTGATGATAGTATGTTATGTTTAGGTAGCCAAGATGATTGGAGCCCCACCTGGGTATGTTGGACATGATGACGGAGGTCAGCTGACTAAGAGACTGAGAAAATGTCCGATGCTGTTGTTCTGTTTGATGATAGTATGTTATGTTTAGGTAGCCAAGATGATTGGAGCCCCACCTGGGTATGTTGGACATGATGACGGAGGTCAGCTGACTAAGAGACTGAGAAAATGTCCCGATGCTGTTGTTCTTTTTGACGAAGTTGACAAAGCTCATCCTGATGTTCTCACTGTATTGCTTCAATTGTTTGATGAGGTTTGTGAATAGATTGGACTCTAAATATACTGCATAGTAGTTCCTGTTTACAGTTAGCCCTTGATAACCTGTTACAGAAAAACTGTGATCAATTTAGTAATTATCTTGATTTAGCAGTGGTTTGGTTTTTAAAATGTTTCCTTTTCCTACCAACACGATCCTGGTAGGTAAACTGCTTCAGGATGATCATACAATATTTGATTGAACTATATCTTTAAAATATTACAACAATAATCAATAATGTTATAAATGTAGGCTATAGTTCAAAATCTGAATTAAGGACTTTTAACTTTATTATTTCTTTAGTGCGACCTTACTGTCTGATATGCGTCAGCCACTTTGACATTTTGACTCAACTGAAAAACCTTAAGAAAAATAATCTTATATCTGCAGTCTTGGTGAACTCGAAAGTCACCTTAGTTAGAGCCTCTTGAGGAATTGCTGTCTCTTAGTCGACTTACCAAAGAAGACAGCCCAAACTGACTCTAGCTTATTATATTCAAATCAAAGAGCACATGTTGAGCTGTCTCATCCTGGTTTCTGCACATACATAGTGGATCACCGAAAAACAAAAAGACCCATTCCAAGCATGTTGAGTATCCTGTGACTAAACACTTTAAACTTATTATAGGGAAGGTTGACAGACGGAAAGGGAAAAACAATTGAGTGCAAGAATGCCATATTTGTAATGACATCAAACCTTGCGAGTGATGAGATTGCAGAACATGCATTGCAGTTACGACGGGAAGCTCAGGACCTCATGAATCAGAGATTGGAGGGAAAGTTTGGTGAGTTGATAATTGTCTATCATGAGGTCTGCTACAAATTGTCTGACGTAAAATGAAGTTATATAACACTAAAATGATAAACCTAGATTTTCAGGCTGAATTTTTGCGTTATTAATTATCTAATTAGTAAACAAGCAGAACCGATTTGTAATTATTAATTAAGATGACCAACTTGTGGTTTTAATTATTACAGGATGAGTGTAGAATAGATTGAGACTGATTATTTTGCTTAAGCTTCGCTCACACGGTGCGAGTTTACAAGCTACTCGCCAGCGTGTAAGAAGCCAGCGAGTTGGCGAGTGTGCTTGTATTTGTTCACACGGAGCTTGTCCACTCGCCAACTTGCAGTCGAGTCGGCGAGTGCGCTTGAAGTCGTTCACACAATGCTTTTTCCACTTGCTCAGTAGCTAGCTTGAATTAAATCCTCCGACATCTTTGAATAACATGCGCACAAGCACAAGCAACAGTGTTCACACTGGGCTACTTTACACGCCTACTCGCTCAAAAGCTGGCGAGTTGGCGTGTAAAGTAGCGGCAGCGTCAACTTTTTCCAGAGCTTTTTTACAAGCAGCTATTGAGCAAGTACGTCGTTCTTACTGAGCTATTTTACTAGCTGCGTGTAAAAAAGCCGACGTGTAGCTTGTAAACTCGCCCCGTGTGAACGAGGCTTTAGTTAGTGGTTAAGATCAGCTGTTTCTTTATGATCCCAATGGCAAAAGACTGCTGGCTCCAGCTTCTAACCATCAGTGAATTTTCAGATATTTTAACCAGAACTAGAACAGCTCAGCTGCCCAGCTATATTCTATAGAGAAAAAAAACATAGAAATACTCGGAATTCTGTGATATTATCCTCATGTTGTTTTGAATTAATTCAATGAGGTACCTATATTTTAGTTTTTTTTTTCTGAACATAACTTACTTTATAAGCTTGTATTATGTTCATTCAATATTTATAAAATGTTCTTGTATAATGAAAATATTTATTCCAGATGAAGAAACCTCTTCAAACATAACTATTTCTCGCCACTTCAAAGACAAAGTTGTTAGACCAATTTTGAAGAAACATTTTGGCAGAGACGAATTTCTTGGACGAATCAATGAAATTGTTTACTTCCTTCCTTTTTCAAATGCTGAACTTAACAAGTTGGTTTCAAAGGAGCTGTGTACTTGGGCTAAAAAGGTGAGTAAATAAATTTATAACAGTTGCCAAAGTTTTTGTAGTGTTTAAACAAACAAGTCAATAACAATGATCAAACTGCAAACTATTTTTTAATGTTAGATTAAATCCAGTTTTACTATTGTATAGATTATCAACACAATTCTATCCTTTGTGCCCCAAATGCTAATATATCTACATTGAAAGAACCAAATCTTCACTCACAAATATCTGTGCAAGCAAAACTAATCAAAAACGGCTAAAAACCGAATCTAGAACTAATGCTTAGAACTATTATGTTGTGCTTTGGGTTTACAAGTATTGTGTGGACTGTTAGGTTGGATTAACGTTACATTAAGTACCAACGGCAGACTCTATGTGTTGGGTAATTTTAAGGCAAGATTATTATTTTAACCCTTCTTTTTCTCATCAGGCGCAAGAGAAACACATGATTTCTCTAGAGTGGGAGAGGAGAGTAGAAAGTGTGTTAGCGGAAGGGTACGATGTTCACTATGGAGCTCGAAGCATCAAGTATGAAGTAGAGAGACAAGTAGTGAGTCGACTGGCGGCTGCTCATGAGAGAGGTAACCTATAAATACACCTGTAAACTTCTTTATATACAGTAGACTCTCAGTAATCCGGCAGATATATTACCTTGATACTTAAAACACGCCTCAGAAGATCGTGTAATCGGAAACCCCTATTACCGCGACCGGGCATGACGACGATGATGTTTCTGTAATCGTGAGAATCGTTGATAACGTCTAGCATCTGTGAGAGATGTTCATGATTTTGCCACGATCGTGCATGACGACGATGACGTTTCCGTGACCGCAGGAGTGGATGATGATGTCTGGGAGGTAATGAGAATTGTGCCGCGATCCCGGATGACCTCACCCGTCAAAAGACACCGGATTACTAGAGTGCCGGAGTGGTACATTGCCGGATTAGAGAGGGTCTACTGTACATTCATAATAAAATCAGATTTACACTTAGATACATATTCAGTACTTCTTAGAATAGATAAGTTGACCTAGAGACTCTCTCATTCTTCTCAGTATATCCATACTGCCATCCACTAACATTTAAAATTACTTGAAGGAATATTATGTGCTAAGTATTCAGTTTTGTCAGCCTGACAAGCCTATCAGTCAGTACTTGGCCTCATCAACAAAGCCGATTCAGTAGCAGGTCCACTATTATAAATGGGCCCAGTGGCACAACTATATCAACCGAGAAGGTTTGTTGGGTGCACAAGGAAGAGAAATTCCCCACAATGTATGTAGAGAGGGTCACAATTACCTCTCTGGCTCATAGCGCATCATATGCAAACCGCGGGCCTGTTCAGTAGGTTTGGTATGCAGCTTCCTAATTATGACATCTCTTACGAGGCTTCAAGACTTCCTCATACCTCCAGGCCTGATGCCACAAACTTGCCTTAGGCTTTCTACTTGTTCTTCTTCTCCCAGGAACATTCTGTTGTGTGTTTAATACTTTTGGGTTTCCTTTATTTATATTAGAAAAAGTTTATTGCTGTACTTAACCTATTATACAATGAATTGATTAAGAAATATTAACAACAAACCCTCCTTTGGGCTTAGCTTTATAAATTTAATTTGTAATTTTTGTCACTTAATGATTTGATGGTCACTCCACTCAAGGCTATTAAAAAGAAAAAGAGGTTGCCTCAGTCGCGCGTATGACGTCACCCGCCGACCCGGACGGTGCTGCTTTTAATTCACACAGCTGTCACCTGTCAAGTACTTTGTTATTGTTGTTTGTTTTTCATTTATTTATTTGTAAACAGATCTGGGTCGGCGGGTGACGTCATACGCGTGACTGAGGCAACCTCTTTTTCTTTTTAATAGCCTTGCACTCCACTTGCCTAGAGTCCCAACTGTTCATAAATTTGTTCAATTCTTTGTGCTATGTCTGATGTTGGTGAAATAGCTAGATGAAAATAAACAAACTCATAACAATATAAAAATATAACATCAACCATATGTTATAAACAAATTAGGCAGGCAAATGAAAGTTAGACATTACAAAAATTTCTACATTTCACTCTTTTTCCTGAACGTTCTAGCTTTGACATTACGCATTAAACTATCATAACGAAAACAGACAGGCAATAAAAACTGAATTAAGATTAATGATCCTACTTTTAAATTTTGTATATATTTTCTTCTACAGGAATCATTGACAAAGGATCTTCAGTGTTAGTTACCACCCACCAGCAAGACGAAGATAGCAAACCTCTTTTGAGGTTTCGAGTGAAGAAAAAAGGTGACAAAGTGTTCACCGACTATGACGAACATTTCTTATCATAGATTAAATCCACCAATAAAACTTGGGTTTTTGTTAATAATTTGTTAAATATTTTTTAAGGTTGTAAAGTAAATTTTGATTTTATTGCCTGAAACATAGTAATTTAATATCCAGTAATGAAGTTACTAGCATTTATTTAAAAACAATGTTTTGTTTAAAATAGTGGATTTTATTATTTACAAATACAGTTAAAAATAAAACCATCATGAATGTTGAGTGCTATGTGTTTTAAACATGACCTTGACTGATGTCCCATGCTCCACTAGATCATCTGCATACAATTCTGATATAACATAGTAACTGGGTATCAAGCTTTGCTCGAGGAAAATCATTAGGCCTTAGGCCTACTATATTCTGAAAGCAGTCTTTGGTCAATGTCATTAATCTAAATTTTCTTTTCCAGTCTATTTATATTCTGTTAAAATCGTAGTTGACTTTGTTTGTGTATGCAGCAGCTATGATTCTTGTATACTTATCTACATTGTTTTGTTTTTTTTTTAACCAACAATTAATCTAAAAATATCTAATGATTTACATTTGATAAGCACAATGTAGACAGACCATAAGACCCTTTTGGAACTTGTTCTAGAAGCAAATGTAAGCGTAGTTTTAAAGGTTTAGGTGTGTAAAAATTTTATTATGAAGGTCGTATCTTACTTTACTGTCAGAATTCAACATATCAGTATCTCAAATTTTCACCCTTCCTCACTCAGTATTGACATATCAAGGTCCCCACCTTTCAGCTTATTTTATGCTCAGCTATTCATATAGACAATAGACGAATTTCTATATTTGTGATTTCTCAAAAGAAATACAATGGCGTCATGTTTGTTTAGATCTCTTGCTTTACAAGTATTTAAAAGATTAAAGAGTTCTTTGATTGAGTCAACAGGTTGTTCCATCACCCAGTCCCGTAGTCTCTGTTTTAGACGTCTTGGGACAGTGTAATAATCATGCAGCCGATATAGGATGGTTTCTTACTGAACTGAGTTATAACGTGTGCAGGAAGGCTGAAATCTGTTGCTCTTCAGGTCTGGTATGGGTGAAAAACTCCAATCCTGTAAAGGTCCAGCTATGGTCAGTGTATAGAACAACCACACTGATGTAGCTGCAGACAAGCCAAATTTTCCTGGCTTTTGCAGCAAGCTTTTGTTCATAAAATGTTGTAAGATTTTTTGTGATTTTTCAAATAAAAAAAAAAAAATGTAAAGTGCTATGACGGTTGGGAGCTTAAGCGCCTCTGCAGCTATCTGCGAGGTAAACATCCATGAGAGCCCTAATGGCTTTCTTGTGAAGTACCAGGATTTTGTTAAGGTTGGTTTCAGATGTTCCTCCCCATGATATCAACCCATACCTGTGATGGGACTCCACTAAAGAAAAATATTCTTATCTGCTTGCATGCCTGCAGTCGATTTAATCCTTTTCACCACATGGATCCCGGCAAAGAGCTTTTTTGTTAAGGTGTTAATATGATCTGTCCATAGAGAGATCAGCATCAATAGTAACACACAGGAGTTTTTTTTTAGGCAATATTGTAGAGCTTTGACTTATGATAACAGAATATCTGAATATAGTTCTTGTGCTGTGTCATTTCTAACAGTAGTGTGTTCTAGTATAGTGTATAGTGTTATGCTGTATTCCACATAGCCAATGAGGTGTAGTGGTTAGCATACTGATCTTCAAACCCATAATACCCGGATCGAATCTTGTTGGTAGCGTTATATTTTTGTATTCTAATATTTCTTTAGTTAGAATTTGAGGTATTTTCAATTGTATTTTTTTACTAGAATGTATATTGTACATTTAACTATTTTTTCATTCATGTCTACAACAAATTCATTACGAAGTAATAATTTAAAATGGAATAGGCCTAAGACTATACTTTCATGAGAAGTCTAAGAAAGAAAATACTGTACATTTGTTGACCACTTAAAGGTTACTCATCTATACTGCTGAATACTGTACACCCTCAAAAGATGAAGCAAAACATGTAGAAGGATTGCATTTTAGTTTTAATTAACACCAAATAAGAAGTTGGAGCAACTTTCATCAGGCAACCTTGTTTTATTTTTCTTTAAACATATATATATATTTTTAACTAATCTCCTATACTCTTATATGAGCAGTGTTTGTTTGTATGTATGTATTTATTTATGTATACTTGCAAGAAGATTTTGTTAACGGCTTCAACAATTTCCTTCAAATGTTGTATGTAAATAGTTTATTTCTAGCCTAAAAACGTGTTTAATGCAGTTAAAACTGCCAAAAGAAATCTAACTAGGTAAAAAATTAAATTGAAAGTCACATTTTTTTACATTGGCCTTGTGGGTTGCCAAGTAACCAGTGTTGGTGGAACAAAATAATAACGAAAATGTAAACAGAAGATTTAATTAACATGTGTTCATAACAAGCCATCAACAGTATACTAGCAAATTACAAAATACAGTACAAAGGAAAAAACATCTGTTATTACTATTGAGCACAGATTACACTGAAGTGAAGATTACTCTGTACAGGGAAAAATACTTCTAATCAAATACTGATAATTTAACCTAGCTCTCTCCCAACGTAATCCCCGAAGTACTGAGGCAATTTATTGTTAGCAAACTTTTGTTTAGCAGTGAAATAAATATTTAAAAATATTATTATTTATTTTATGTAAATTAGAATTCAAACAAACATTTTCAATCAGCTGTTTTTAATTTACCAACTGCCAAAGACGTTTATCCAAAGATAGGCTATTATAAACGAATAATTTTAGCATTGACTTTAAGTAGTGTAAATCAACTTATAGTACCTGGGGACCGAGCTTTGCTCGGGGAAAATCATTAGTTCACTCTAAAAGCAGTCTTAGTATTGGAGATACATAAATCCATTCCCAAACTCCACACGATTTGCCTTTACTAAGTCCTACACCATTTCCTACGTCATGGACCTGTTTCCCTGCATTCCCATAGCACTTTAGGATTGTAGATACCTTAAACTAATCGTTATTAACAGATCCCACACTCCGGACAGCTCGCCTTAACTACTTCCTTCACCACTTCCAACGTAGTGGACCTGTTTTCCTCCCTTCCCATAGCATTTCAGAATTGCAGACACCTTAATCTAATTGTCATAAACAGTTCCCACACTCCGGACTTCTCGCCTTGACTACTTCCTTCACCACTTCCTACGTCGCGGACCTCTTTCCCTTCCTTCCCATAGCATTTTAGGATTGCTAATACCTTAATCTAATCGTCATAAACAGTTCCCACACTCCGGACAGCTCGCCTTGACTACTTCCTTCACCACTTCCTACGTCGTGGACCTGTTTTCCTCCCTTCCCATAGCATTTTAGGATTGCAAATACCTTAATCTAATCATCATAAACAGTTCCAACGCTCCAGACAGCTCTCCTTAACTACTTCCTTCACCACTTCCTACGTCACTGACCTGTTTCCCTCCCTTCCCAAAGCATTTCAGGATTGCCCATACCCTTATCTAATCGTCATAAACAGTTCCCACACTCCGGACAGCTCGCCTTGACTACTTCCTTCACCACTTCCTACGTCACGGACCTGTTTCCCTCCCTTCCCATAGCATTTTAGGATTGCCCATACCCTTATCTAATTGTCATAAACAGTTCCCACACTCCGGACAGCTCGCTTTGACTACTTCCTTCACCACTTACTACGTCCCGGACCCGTTTCCCTCCCTTCCCATAGCATTTTAGGACTGCAGATACCTTAATCTAATCAACATAAACAGTTCCCACACTCCGGACTACTCGCCTTGACTACTTCCTTCACCACTTCCTACGTCGCGGACCCGTTTCCCTCCCTTCCCATAGCATTTTAGGATTGCAGATACCCTAATCTTATCGTCATAAACAGTCCTCACACTCCGGACTGCTCGCCTTTACTACTTCCTTCATCACTTCTTACGTCACGGACCTGTTTCCCTCCATTCCTATATTATTTTATGATTGCCTTTACTACTTCCTTCACCACTTTCTACGTCGGGGACCTGTTTCCTTCCCTTCCCATAGCTATTTAGGATTGCAGATACCTTAATCTATTAGTCATAAACAGATTCCAGACTTCGCACTGCTACCCTTGACTACAATGTATCGAGTAATCTTCAGTATAATCTTTGCTTAACAAGTGATGTTTTTCCTTTTGTACTGTATTTGTAATTTGCTAGTATACTGTGGGTAGCTGGCTTATTATGAACACATGTTACAGCTTCAAGTCTTTTGTTTACTTTTTCTTTGTTATTTAATTCAGCCAACATGGTTACCTAGCAACCCATAAGACTAATGTTAAAAAAATGTGATTTTCAGTTTCATTTTTCTACGTAATTAGATTTTTGTTGGCAGTTCTAACTGCAGTAAAATCGTTTTTAGGCCAGAAATAAACTATTTAAAACATTTGAAGAAAATCGTCGGAGCCGTTTTCGAGATCTTGTTTGCAAGCAAGCAAGCAAGCAAGCATACATACATACATACAAGCAAACATTGCTCGTATTAGAGTATAGGATTGTTATAAAACATAAATTAAGTGTTGATGAGTATTTCGTGTTGTTGACGTTTTAGTGCACTAGCGTTAACTCAATGTTTCACTCTTATTGAAAGACAAATTTTACAATTGATATGCACTCCGTTGTATAGTTAACATAATGGACAGCTGTATTCAGTTGAATCAGTATTAAAGTTAATTGTATTACAGTAATATTTAAAGTAAACAATATTTTATAGAAAACGGCTTTGACGATATTCTTCAAATATTGTAAATAGTTTATTTCTGGCCTTAAAACGTGTTTCATGCAAGAAAAATCAAATTACGTAAAAAAAGAACTTGAAAGTCAATAATGTTTAACAGTGAGGCTTTAATTTGGCAAAGAAATTACAAATGAAAATCGTTAACATCAACAAAAGAGTAGTTATTACTCCCCAGTCCCCTTTGCTTTCTCTTAATCTCAAACAGTAATCCATAGTTACAATTAAAGCAAACGCATAGAGAAAGGCGGTAGGCTACGTGAAATTTAAAACAAGGTAAGTAAAACAGCTGATTATAAACAAATCCTAAACGAAAGAGGTTTTCAATTTATGGTTTTCAATTTATGGCAGACGCTCTATCATGAGGTAATGTATATTACAAATATGTATATATTAGGTAATGCATATTACAAACTAGCAGAGTGCTTGCCCTTCGTAAGGGGTTGGCGTTTAAGTATAAAATGCTTGTTGCAGTTATACTTTGTGCTTAATGCTATTAAATATCAAAGAACCAAAATGTGTAGGCCTAGTTGCAACAGCTGACACAATTCATTTATTCCTTTTAAATATGAATACTCAGAAGGTTAACATGGGAAACTCCAGAGCAACTGGGGCTGAACCCAAAAGGATTTTTGAGATAATAATGCGTCTATATGTTAATCGGGAATGTGAACTATCATCAGACCAAATTTCAGCCCAATCCGACCAGAATTTTTGGTGTTTACTTGTCACAAAGATCCATCCATACATCTACACTTTCTCACTTAGAGTGAGAACATAGACTGCAACATTTTTTTATTTTTATAAATGCCATTGACAAAACATTGCTTTCAGCGGTAATTTAATTGAGTGGTGAGCATTAAGATAAATAGATTGTGGTGAGTGGTGCAATTAGTGGTTGGTACAAGGTACATGATTCTGTGCACCACTGCCAGTGTCAAGGAGAGGTTATAAATGAAAACATAACCTCTCTTAGGAGTTACATGTAATGATTGTTAGTAATTGAAACATTTTGTAGGTATATAAAATATCCTTTAAAAAATAAGTAGGCCTAATACCACTTTAAGAAATCTTGTCTCAATCTGCCAAACTAATGAAATGGAGCATTCATAGCTTTTTCCTGATACTATTCAACAATCAATCTTGAACTCCAAACAAATCCACTACACTGACTAACTGTGCCGTTCCAGCAACAATAGGTCCATTATCAGCTGGGAAGGAAATAGCAACAATGCTTTCGAGTTCATAACCAACCAATCTCTGACTTCGAGGGATTTATGTTCTACTGGTGAGGGATTTTATCCCTGCACGCGGTATTTGATAAATGATGGATCCTGCGATGCTGCATTACCGAATATCTTTTCATCAGGGTTGTAAGTAAATATTTGAAAATGGACATTTAAAAACTAAATATTTTTCAGTTAATTCAAAATGTATATTTTCTACTGGTAGTCTACTTCTAGAGCTGACTGTACCAGTGGAGTGAACAGACTAACATGTAAAAAAATACTTGGTGGAGTGAAAGATCGTGGAGTGAATGAAACATCTCGACTTCAGTTGATAGATAACAGTGATAGACCATTAGATAGTAAAATGTAGTGTCTTTTAGTATAAGTGAATCCTTCAATTCAGAAAACATTCTCTGTGCCTGGGGATGATAAGAGTGAGAGAGATATCTTTTTCCTATAGATTAAAGAGTCATGCACATTATTTGTTTCAACATGCTTGATTGTATTATATATTTTATAGGTATAGGGTACAGGCCTTCTCTTGATTATGTTAACAAAGGTTTGGAGAGAAAACTGTCATATTTATTTGTTTTCCTAAATGGACCAATGGACCTGTTGTAAGGCTGTAAACTTATAATAATATTTTTTTTCAAACAGCAACAAAATGGATATTTCAATCTTTTTAAACAAATATTTTGTTTGATTACCAACTTATTACCCTCATACTTTCCAAAACGTGTATAAACCTGGAAAGCAATAGATCCAAAATTACCATTCTCCTAAGTGAATAACTCACAACTAAAATTGCACACTGGGATAAAATTGGGATAACTTTCAATCGTGGTAAATCTCTTGCCTGCGGTTGGTGGTTGGCACAACTGCGAGCCTACAGTTGCGCAGTTCTCGTCCAGGTGGCAGCACTGACAGCCACTTGTGCCAACCTAACATTACATAACCAGACCAAGAATGTTGTGGTGAAAGTGTATTCGTATTCTGACCACGCCAGCTGATCAGTGATCGTTCCCCGCCGGTGTGGCGTGAGTGAGTGACAGAGTTGGTGCGCCATTCATGTATTCGGATTGTTGTGGCCAAGTGCAGGACAGTTTCGGACAGATTTTCCGCGCGGTTTTCGACACGCACGGCGGTTCTGTTATCCTTATCTTATCGATCGTCATGTCAGTCGTCAGTGCCTTCGTTTGGACCGGCGGCAGAGAGCGACGAAATCCAAGTGGCAGTGACAACGCCAAACACTAACTTACCCGTTTGTTTACGGTACGATATCCTGGAATGCACTTAAGAATAGAAAATGTAGGGTAGTTTTAGCAATTAGAGGTTAAAAATAATTATTGGATAAGGGCGAAAAAAGTGAAAATATTTGAATGTTTACGTCTTATCAGTATTGCATGATTTTGAATAGACTTAAATTTTGTTAGTTATGTTGTAACTTTCACTGTTAATTGATTTTAACTTATTTAAAACTGCATCCAATATCCAAATTATCCATCAAACACTGCAATAGTTTTACAGATGACTTTTAACACGCAATACTGTTAACTGCGTTTTAATGCATCATTATAATGTAGGCCTAATTCGAGTAAAAGACTTTGGAAAATTTAGTTATTAAATGGAGATCTACTGCTTTACGAAAATATAACTACCTACTGTACAATGAGAGTTTTATTCATTTGTATTATGTAGCATTAAAAACTACGATATTGTCATTAGAATGTCTAGTCTCTAATCCCCAATAATCAATGTAGCGTCTACATTTGTAATTAATAGAATAATTATCTTATGTAAATGTGTGATAAATAACACAATTACCATTTACGTCGTGTTTTGAAGTTCTTTCAAAATCTTGCTGATAACTTGTCGTGTTGAACAAGGTTAAATAACAATCACATTTTTATTCGAATCTCACACGCGATGGTATATTGATTCTGCAACTGTTAAATGACAATTGTATAAGCAGTAAGATTCATATGAATCAATAATATTCCAATGCATTGCATTTCTTTACAATCGAATCGTGAACCATGGACAGACTTATGATCCTATTTCAAGAAATTAATTCCATAGTTGTATCATTGACGTTTGGATACTGAAGGTTATACAGTATGGTAGCAACAAATTAACAAATAATCCCAATGGACCAGCTTTAATAATTTTTTATGGTACACACTCCAACGCTTTGTCTCCTCATTCTTATTTTTACTTCTTTTATTATCATGAGCGAATATGAAAGATTTATTTAGCACTCGTCGCACAATGCACAATTTAACGCAGAAATTAACAACAATGAACCACAAACGCTGGGAAATTGTTGTAATATGTATGTCTCCATCCTGATCCAATTCGTTAGAACTCTACGAAATGGTGTTACCGTGTCAGCAAACTTTATTACTTCATCGATTGTTTTCCAAGGAAACAAATAAAAAAGTTACAGTGCTTAGGCTATACTCGAATAATTGTTCACCTTTTTCCGAAATAAATTTTAGACTGCCATGCAGTTCAATGACAAATCAGATAAAATATATCGTAACACTATTTGATAAGCTTATTTATCCGACAATAATACCATGAGAAATACGTAATATTCTACAGTCATTTTTAAAGGGACTAAAACATTGCTCAAAAGACCTGTACAATGGGAAGGCTATACGTTACACTCCTTTTATAAAGAAAAGATTTTATTTGCCATTCAGTACAAAAAATTCAATAGGCTTTGACAATACATATATCAATTAACTGCTAAATAATTTTTCTATTAAATAAATTTTAGACTAGTTTAGTAGGCTATTTAGTTTTTCGAATTCAATCTAACTGTCAAGCTATAAATAACCGTAACAGCAGTTAGTCGGCATGTGCGCCATTGTGAGATGAACGTTCATTTAAATATTAATCTCACTTTCCAACAGATGTTAGTTCATCCGTCACTTTCACTCAACCGACTTCCGGAACGGAACTTGGCTCGTTTTAATTCAAAGCTATTTGCTCAAATAAATCTTGATTATAAGCAGTAACACGTTATAAATACGTAATAGTTTAATGAAAATATATTAATTTATAGCCTAAAAGCTCGTGCATAATATCGGATAAGAACGCATGTAAACGAGCTCTTTAGCTAATCCATAAGGATGAAGTGTTTCAATCAGAATACTAACTATATTGTATGCCAAAACTAAGATCTGCCTAAGAAAATGCTACAATTTAAAATTTTTGCATGGCATCATTGAAATCTGTTTACATTTTGATTGGCTCAAGGCACAAGTATTGAAGGCTTTGTATGGATATATATGGTACAAACACTGGTTTAGTATAACTGTATAGTATTACTGTATAACGTCGCCCTGTTGTTATATAACATAATAATAAATAGCACACTGACAAAGGTACCCCGAGACCTAAATAGGCATTTCTTAGGATCGAACCAGCAACATCTAGATCCACAGGTGAGCACTAAAAACACTTCACTACGGTACCAAGTCAAATATATAGCTAATACGGGGAACATTATAAATTTTACTGAAACTAAATGAGTTTTTTGTCACAACTGTAGTAGGCCTATCACGTTTGAGCATACATTTTACATAGGGAAATTCTATCTTACCTGTTGAATCCTCGGCTGGGAATCAACATTGAGCGTAAAATCGGCAATTCCTTTAAAATAAACTTTAATTACGATTCGCCACCCAATTTGGATTTAACGATGCCCAGAGCGAAGCCCTCAGTTAACCTTAGACCCCGTGGCCTAGTTTTGAAGCGCCAATTGTTGAACTTTGGTTACGACACTTGGACAGAATCTATTAATTTATAACACTCGTAGCATATTGCAATAAAACATGTTCTAGCTATACTATAGTTTACAATTTGCCTTAGCTGTTTACGTTAAACTGTTTATACCGAAGGTATACCAGAATAGGGTTTAGAAATGTAAATTAAAGACAAAACGAAAATTATGCATTTTTTTAAAAGAAAATAAGTACGAGTAAAAATCGTGTACCACTTTGATTTTGTTTGAAGATTTTTCTTGAGACCCATCTATTCCACAGCCGTCAGTTTTGTAAAAAATGTCTTCACCAGAAATGAATGTTTAAACTTAAAAATTTATGGGGTTACGTCATAGAAAGAAATACAGGAGTAACACATTTTCCTGTGGTTTATATTTTGAAGTTTTTGCTTGAAGAGTATTCCTATGGGCTTGGCATGTTTATCAGACATGTACGACAGTACGAAGCCTGAACGATACCTGTTAATATGTATGAGTATTAAACGGGGACACATTTGCATTAGTGTGCTGATACAATTAAATGTTCATAATATATTGGGTAGCCTACCTAAGATTTTACAGTGTGAATGCTATTCTTCATATTTAACATTCAAATGATACAGGAAAATCAGTAGCTTGTGAATTTATAATTTAATTGTGTTAAAGTGGTTAAAGTGCTAGCCAATGTGAAATTAAATGAAAAAATAAATAATAGCTATCAAACACACCTTTATATTAAGCATACCATAGATAGTCCTCAGTTTACTCATATTGACGAACAAATCCGTAATCTTATGCATTTATATCTTTGATCTGTTCTGCACCTGAAAAATCATAAACGCAACATACATACAGGGATGTAGCTGTTTTGCGGTTGTATGCCATTCTATAGTCTTATTATAGTCTTATGACAATAAATTAATTATAATACAGTAAGATATGTTGTTCATGTTCATAGAAAACGTATCCAGTGAGTTTAATATTTTTTGTTCGTTTTCTGTTTATATTTGTTTCCTTTGCCAGCTTAAAGCTCCTCTACTAATGTTTATTCAGAAAGCAACCTTTAGTGGCAAAATCGAGGAATGCTCACAAAGAAAACTAGGCTATAGCATACAGTAACTTACTTCTGCCTACGGTTTTTCACATTTGTTTTCAAACTCTAGTAGGCTTGATAATCAGAGGGTTAATATGGGATTGATAAACCTAACCTAATAAATCAATCGATAAGTCATATCGATTCATTGCTTACAATTGAAATGTACAACTGTTTACATAAGCTGACTTTTACTCCCTATGGACAAAAAGGCTTGGAGTAAAAATTATACTTAAGACAGACCCGCAACGCATTTATTAACAACTGAGTTTTTTGCTGCAGTATGACGAAAAAGCCATAACAGTAATGACATTTAATTTGAGTTACACTAATACGATTTGGAATATGGGATGGATAATAATTTCAGTCTGAATTTAACTTTACTGTTGCCAACTCACTACCAAGTTTTTTTAAATAATTTTCAAATATTAGCCTACTTGATTTTAGGCATACTTAAGTTTTGTAATTTCTTCTCCGATAAAGGGAATTATCGATTAGCTTTGAATAAAATGTCCTGTCTTAACAGCTGTTATTAGTCAGTAAGATAAGTTGGTTTCATTAGCTATCTCAGTCATCTTGATCTCATATTTAAACTGAAAATGCGAAAATAGTGTCTTTCCTCTGCTCACGGAGCAGTCCAGTCGCGACGGCTCGAGCCGCTTCAGTCGCGCGGCTGTAGACGCTCTATAGGAAACGGTTGCATTTACTTTGCATTAAAGCAGTCAATTTTTTCAGCCGCGCGGCTCGAGCCGCGCGACTAGAGTCGTAACAGTCGCAGGATAGGAAATGGACCTTAAGCTTGACCAGGCACTCACAACAAATTAATAATTCAAAAATGCAAGTGACGTGACGCCCGAAAATATCCATGTGAATCTAAATTAATTGATACCTCTCCTAAAAAAAACATGTTGTTTAAAAATTTAACCTAAAGATTGGAGTACACCATTTGAGTACCACTGGAAAACACAATAGCTGGAAACAACAAGCTACCAAAGTTTCAAAGGCAAACAATGGAAAAGAGAACTACAACAATAAAGATAAAGTATTATTCAATACTTTCTACTAAACACACGACCACAAAAAAAATCAATATAACGACGAAACGATCAAACCACATAAAGTTAAATTCACCAATAATAAATTTTTGACAATAAATTTTTGACAATAAATAAATACATCTTTTTGAATTTCTCGTCAACAAAACCTCTTCAACCGAACGTATTTTGTATCTACCGTATTCCCAGACTCCTAGTGCCCTGACCCCGCTGTCTCGGAATGCATTTCTGGTCCTGTTGTAATGCCCAGACGAATCCTAAAAGCCTAAAATTAGACGAGGAGCGGGATTTTTGTTCACGACAGAATACATTAGTTTTTATCTCCTCCCCCCTACTCAACTTCTACCTAGCCACT